TTGAGTTGGAGTCTCACTCCGTCGCCCAGACTGGAGTGCAGTGGCACGCTCCCAGCCACCACAGCCTTGACCTGCCGGGCTCCGGCGATCCTTCCACCTCAGCCTTCTGAGTAACCGGAACTACAGGCATGCACTACCATGCCCGGCTCACTTCTGATTTATTGTAGAGACAAAGTCTCACCAAGTTGCCCAGGTGGGTCTCGAACCCCGCGGGCTCAGGCAATCCACTCACCTCAGCCTCCCAAAGTGCTGGGATGACAGGCTGAGCCACACTTCACTCAGTGTCTAAGCGGCAGAGCCAAGACTTGAACCTGGAAGAGAGTATTCCGAATCTAGACTTTCGACACCGAGCCGATAGCCTGCATCTTCCTCACCCTGAGCTGAAACCTTCCTGGAACTTCCAGCCTCCTGGACTTCCAACCTGTGTCAGCCTCTTTGCTTCATTCAGAAGCCCCTCAGTGCTTTCTCCACAAGGCAGGCCTCCATGTGCTTGAAGGAGGCCCCCTGGCTTCCACATCCTCCCTTCCTGTCTAAGCATCTTCACCCCATCCCCGTGCGTGCGGCTCCAGATTCCCTTACGCTCTGCTATCCCTCCTTTCAACGTGCCCAGGTTTGTGTCAGCACTTGTGCTTGTTTGGATTTCTGTGCTAACGTTTGCACTAGTATGCAGTGTGAGTGTGCAGAGGGAGTGTATGCATGTACTCAGATGTGTGCACCTATGCATGCATGTGGAAGCATGTGTGTATGCGTATGTATACATGGGTGCACGTGGAGGCATGTACATGGATGTGTGTGCACACATGTGTGTGTGCAGATGCATGTGCGCCCACGTACACATGTAAATGTGTGTGCCTAGGAACATGTAGAGGCACGTGTGCTCTCAGGATCTGAAGGACACAGCTCAGTGCAGACAGTGGGCTCCTCTGTCTCTCAGTCGCCAGGCGAGGGAACGCCCTGCCCATCAGAGGGACCCGGGCCCCAGCCTTGGCTGCGTTCTGGGCTACTGGCAGGGCTGTCACTCTGGGAGGAACCTCTGGCACCTGCCTGTCCAGATTGTGACTCTTCCACACGTCTCTCCTCTGCTTCTTGGAAACCCATCTGTGATTACCCCTTCTTCTCTACCCCTTCCCAGAAGGGTGTCTTCCATCCACCACCTGCGTCCTGGGGAAAGCCAGATGGAGGCTGGAAGCCTGGAGAAGAAGAGAGGACCAGGCGGGGAGAGGAGCTAAGAGGGGGTGGAGAGGAGAATGGGGGGAGACGCGGTGAGAGCGGACTCAGGAGGAAGGAGAGGGAAGCCCGCATCACCCGGGCCCTGAGTGCACCTGCTTCTTCCCAGAGGGTTGCCGCTGGACGATCAATTTCAATTATCTTTCCACATTTCCGGTCAGCAGGCAAATGGGCAGGAGATGAAAAGGGGAGAGCCCTGACTCTTTGGATGGTGCTTTGGGCTGAGTCCTGGAAGTTCTGTTCCATCATGTTTTTAGTAGCATCATGCATATACTTATTTACGTATTTATTTTTGGAGGCGGAGTCTCACTCGGCCATTCAGGCTGGAGAGCAGCGGCACACTGGCGACGATCACGGTTCATGGCAGCCTCGACTTCCTGGGCTCAGGCAATCCTTCCGCCTCAGCCTCCCGCGTAGTGGGACTCCAGGCATGCACCACCACACCTGGCTAATTTTTTTTATTTTTATTTTTGCAGAGACAAGGTCTTGCTCTGTAGCCCAGGCTGCTCTCAGACTCCTGGGCTCAAGCAATTCTCCCACCTTGGCCTCCCAAAGTGCCAGGATTACAGGCGTAAGGCACAGCGCCCGGCCACATGCACACAGTTAAACCAGAGAAGAAGGAAGGTCATTGCAGCAGAGGCCAGTTACAGACCCACGTCACTCAGCCATGATGACAGATGGGTCACTGCATTTCCTCTGGATTAAAATCCCCCATACTTGGCCTAAGGAGTAGAAGTTTCTTAGCACTTGACACTAGCTCTTCTGGATGAAGATGCTTGCCAAATGGAAGTTTAGAACGTTCCAGCGGCTTCCTGATTGCAGCACTCCTTGGAGCCCCCTACCGGTGAGCAGGCGCTGGGGAGCTCCAAGTTTCCAAGGTTGCAACTGCAGCCTCCCAAGTGAACTTGAGCCCAGGAGGTTCACGGAGTCACCAGAAGGCCAGCCGCTCTCAGAATACACTCCGAGGGCTCGCTGGCCTGGAGAGCTGAGAGACTTACCCTCGACGCCTCTCTCTCACTTCCTGTTTTCCAGCTAAGAAATTCCCGGGAGGTGGAGGGTTGGGGAGAGGGCCTCACCTCCCTGGGACAGCCCTTCCTTCTTCAGACTTGCCAGTTCAGGGAGAAGAAAGGGGCCTAGAAGGAGGTATGGCTGAGAGGGGCTTAAAATCAGGGTGATAATCAAAACAGGAGTGAAAATAGCTGCGCTGAATCATCTTATCAAGACGGCTCATCATGATGGTATAATTGAATTCAGCCAGACTTAGAAAGTATTGCCCAGAGCACTTCCAACGGGAAAAGGCAGATACAGACAGAGAGGAGAGTCGAGGCCATGGGCATACGGGTAAAGGTGGCTCGGAGCCAACGGGCATACTGGTAAAGGTGGCACACAGATGCCAAGGCTCTGGTGGGAGCTCAGTGTACCCAGTTGCGTCTATCCTCTGGCTTTATCTGATAGCTGCTCTTGCTCTTCCTTCTAGTTTTAAACAGTGCCAGGAGGCCTCAAAATATTTAGAAGCAAGTCGTTTTCTGCCGATTTTGTAGTATTTTTAGCCCAGGGCCTTTAAAACGATTTGCTATTTTTAAGATGAGTGTCTCTTGAGCCTCCCTGGCTTCCCTTGAATGGGAAAAGGGAAAGAAAATCCTTCATGGTGGTGAGTGATTTGGTGAAAAATCTTTTTTTCAGTTTTACAGGCGTGGGTTTAAAAATCACTTTACGTCCATGTCAGGGGTCACACGCAAGCCACAAACAATTCACTGGGTGTGAAGGGGACACACAACCCCAGCGGTGTCCTCTGGGAAGCAGGACGTCAGTTTCGCGTGCCAGCCTTCTCTGTGCGATGGCGCTAGGGGGACATAACTGTGTGTCCTCACAACCATCCCCATCTAACGGCTGAAAACAGGACGAACACTCCTTGGCCCTTGGAAGGCTGAAGACGGGTAAGCGACCGCCCGAGGCCACACATCTGGCAAATACTGGGCCTGGAGTTTTGCTACAGGTTGAACCGCGGCCCCCCAAAATCCCTGTGTTGCAGCTCTCATTCCCAATACCCAGAACGTGACCTTCTCTGGAGACAGGGTCGATGCAGATGTGATTAACTGAGTTAAAAGGGCATCGTGCTGGAGTCAGGTGGTCCCCTACTCCACTGGTGTCTTGAGGAAGGGTGGGGTGTGGAGACTGGCGCTGGGGTCTCCAGCTGGCAGGAGCCAAGGAGCTCAGCAGAAGCCGGGATCGAGACCGGGATAAGCCCTTCCTCAGTGCCTTCAGCGGGAGCAGTGGCCCTACTGACACCCTGATTGGGACTTTCAGCTTTTGGAACTGTGAGGGAATGCCTTTTTATTGTGTAAGCAGATTCATTTGCAGTGTTTTGTTACAGCAGCCCTAGCAAATAAATATAGATTCTGACCCTGATTCGCTTGATTCAAAGCCCATGCCTTGAACCATTATCCCACACTGCCTCTCATGCTCCGTGACATGGGCCTTCTGTCTGCCTGGCTTTCCAGTCACACCATGGTGGCCTCTTGCTGTGGGATGACCCTTGGAGGCCACATTTGTCTCAAGGTCTCCTGGCATGTGCTGATACCTCTAAGGGTGAGGAACCTGTTATGGACTTCCATCTGGGGAATTATTTCCCCATGATGTCTTTGTGGGGCTTGATTTTTATCCTCTGGAACTGTCTCCCTCTGTCTCTCTCTCTCTTCCCCTCACCCCTGCATTTCCCCACCTACATGGCAGTCCCACAAACACTGAGAGAGCCCTCTCTTAGGCCGTGAAACCTCCTCTTCCTGGCTAAGCAGTGCCATCTCTTCACCTGTTCCTCCTACAGCCTGATCGTGAACCTTCTCACCCTCCCTCGGAGGCAGCAGAAGAATGATTGTGTTATGGCAGAAACCCAGAACTGAAATGGGCAGGACAGTTAGCTGCAAGCTGGGAACAGCCATCAGCTGAGCTACCCTCTTGGTGCCAGTCGCGGGAGACGGTTGAGGCATTGGGCCACATTTCCTCATATGCACTCATTTCTACTTGCTGGGATACAGATGTCTTTGGAGGAGAGGTAAAACACCTCGAGTGCCCAAAAAGGGCCCAGACCTCGAGTTAGAGACAGCAGAAGCCACATGGAGACAGGTGCTGGGAGCACTCACTGCAGCATCTGGAGGCCTTTCATGAAGGGTGCGGGCCCCCTACGTGAAAAGACTGTCATATTTTTACAACCTAAAGCCACCAAGGATCCTGAACTGGCCATTCTGTTCCTCTTGTCATTTTTCTTTCTTTTTTGTTTGAGTGGGAGTCTCACTCTGTCACCCAGGCTGGAGTGCAGTGGCGTGCTCACAGCTGCCGCAGTCTCAACCTGCTGGGCTCAGGCGATCCTTCCACCTCAGCCTTCCAAGTAGCTGGAACTACAGCTGAGCACCACCACGTCCGGCTAATTTTTTTTATTTTTTGTAGTGATGAGGTCTCGCCAAATTGCCCAGCCTGGTCTCGAACCCCTGGGCTCAGGCAATCCTCTCGCCTCTCCCGCCCAAAGTGCCGGGATGACAGGCGTGAGCCACTGTATCCACCCCTCTTGTCATTTTCTTTGAAACCATTTAAAAACTACAGATGAACTCATGTGAACAGATGCCACAGTCAAATTACACCAGTGAAAAGGTAGTGAGGAAACTAATAGAGAAACGTGCATTCCAATTAGTAATCAAAGAACTCAAAATTAGAGTAGCCTGGAGGGACACCCGCCCAATGGAAAAAGAAACTCCTATGTGTCTGTTGGTGTAATAATGGTGAAACTGGCAAGATCCCACCTCCAGGTGGTCAACCGGATACAGTTTGAATCAAGAGGGGACAGGGCACTCCAGCTGTCCTTCTGCCTTTGAAAGCATCGGGGGAGAGTCAGAGACATGGCCACACCCTGGAAGTCCTGAGCCACCCTGGAAACGCGGTCCAGACGGGAGCAGACTTACTTTGAGGAAGTGGGTTTTGATCTTGCCGCAGTGTCTGCCCATCTGCTCGGTGGCAGGAGAGTACAGCAGGTCCTTGGAGGGGATGCGGGCGTAGGCCACCCTCTTGTTGCCGCTGAGCATCCAGACGAAGACGTCGGGGATGGTGTGCTGGGGCTGCGGGTCAGGGACGGGGTCGGGGCCGAAGGGGTCAGGCTTGAGTGGGCTCACCTCCGGGTCCCGCTACCCTGAACAGCCCCTCTCCCGCCAAACAAACCCTGCAACTTGGGCCCTCTGGCTACTGAGCCACCTATGGCACCGAGCAAGCAAGGGCGGCTTCCTTGAAAAGACAGCCTGGGTCACGGAAAAAGGAGCAGGCAGACCACGGACCAAGCTGCTCGCGTGGGTCCATCCGTAGGACAGACACTTTTGCACAACTTCCCATGGAAGCTCTTCCCAGTCTTGTAATTATGATTTAGCATTAAGCATTGGGCCTCCTCAGAGCCAGATAACATCCCAAGAATATTCAGATGGAAGGTTCAAACAAAAACAAAAATCCACGCCTGTCTTTGGATGGCTCCTCACTTGTTCTTAAGGAAGGAAAAGAGCTTTATGCCTAGCATAGGATTGCCAGGGTGGCTCCAATCTGGGCGATTACTCAGGAGAAACTCAACTGAACAGGAAATTAGACTTTAAAGTCGAGCTGATCAAGACAGGAAGCACAGACTCCGTGCCGAGCGGCTCCTTGTGTTGAGAGTGTTTGAAACGTCCGTTTCTGAGCCAACATAACTCTCAGAACAAAAAGGAGGCATGCCATTATAAACCAGGGTTCCACACTCCAGAGCCGGAGGCAAATACCCCGTCTGCCCAACCCCTAGTGCCCAGGTGGAGTTGATACCCAAAGGGGGCGTCGCTCCTCTCTCGAGATGGACACACAGACCCCAGGGTGGGGGTTTGCCCAGCCAAGGGTAGGCCACTCGCAGATCCGAGTGTCTGACTTGAGCCTTCCGGGCAGATGACAGTTCCTGGGTCTACTGCCTGCCGGCCCCGCTGCTCTATGACTCCAGGGAACGATCAAATTGCACAGGAATTACGACTCTCCCAGCAAATCTGTACCTCACCCTGAAAACTTGCCACACAAAACCCGGCCTAAGAAGTGTCTAGACATTTGCAGGCCTCAGGAAGGAGTTTCGGTATCTGACAGACGCAAATATGAGGAAGTTTTTAATAGATCGTTCCAGAAGTCGCCAGAAGATACTGTGTACCACTAAGTTTAAAATGAGATGCTGCTTTGACCTTGACTGGAATGAGTGTTAATCCTCTTATAGCTGAAAACCTATCAAAGCTCCCATGCTTATCTTGACTTGACTTTAATCCATTAGGGAATAAGCTTTTGATTTTGCTGAATACTCGGGTTTTGTAAAAATAAATATATATAAATAATAATAATAAATAAATAAATACAGCTGTATATATTCAGCTTACTTTTTTTTTTGAGTTAGAGTCTCACTCTGTCGCCCAAGCTGGAATGAAGTGGCACGCTCACGGCCACCCCTGCCCCAACCTGCTGGGCTCAGGCGATTCTTCCACCTCAGCCTTCTAAGTAGCTGGAACCACAGGGACACGCCACCATGCCCGGCTAATTTTTTTTTTTTTTTTTTTTTTTTGAGATGAGGTCTCACCAAGTTGCCCGGGCTGAATCTCGAACCCATGGGTTCAGTCAATCCTCTCACCTCAGCCTCCCAAAGTGCTGGGATGATAGGCATGAGCCACCGTGCCCGGTCATGTTTGGCTTACCGTAAAAACCTCTTCTCAGTCCCCTAAGCTAGATGTGCCTGCTCAGGACAGCAGGGCTGGAAAGAAAATGCTGATCCAGCTTTCACCCTTACCAAGCCTTCCCGCCTCACCAGGAAGACGTTCGGTCTAACTTTCTAATAGGCTTGCCCTGACAGTTGATTACCTCATCAACGAGAAAGCGGATTTTTTCCACAAAGTTCTGGGCTTCCCGGATCATGTCTTCAAGCGACAACTTTTTCTTCTGCTGCTGAATGATTCCCTCGGCCTCCTTCTGCATTGCCTCCTAAAACAAGACAGGAGTCGGTGCCCATCTTTCTAAACATCTGAACAAGTACCGTCTTGTGGCTGAAGAGGCCTGAGGGTCCTTGCTAGCGCCACACGGAGTCACCCACGAAGCTGCCCACCGAATGGAAATTCTGCAGGAACGTGGACGCAGCAGACGTCATCTCACCTTCGTTTCACAGATGAGACGCTGAGGCCCAGAAAGGTCAGGCCACGTGGTCTGTCAGCCGGGACCTGCAGCCAGGCCCACTGTAATAAGAACAGCTAAAGCCTATGGTGCTGTTACACAGAGCCCGGCCACACTCCAGCCACCCGTTCACCCTTCATGACTCCCCGCCGCAGCCTTGTGAGGTGGGGACCCTTGTTCCTATTCCACAGCCGAGAAAGCAGCATCTGAGGGGCAGACCTGGGGCCCCCAGCTGAGCACAGGGTCTGCGTGCTCAGTGGCTGCCTCACCCCCTCCCACAGGGCCTCACCCCCTCCCACAGGGCTCTGGCGGGTGGTTCCAGACCAAGAAGCCGCCGCTTGGGAGATATCCCAGGGAGCTCTGTGCGAGAGGCTGGGACATCCAACCCTGCTTCTGCGGCTTCATTGTTCGGCCCACATGTATGTGCTTAGGAAAAGCAAGGGCATCTCTCGACGGTGATTTCCAGGGCCCTGTGGGAGCTGCATGTCCCTGTCTGCTTCCTCTCACAGCACGCCTCCCTTACTCGCTGCGGCCTGGGTAGGAGTCCTAGGACACGCCACGCTCAGTCCCTCCCACGGCTGGCTCGCCGGGTGTCTCCTCTCGCTCAGTGTCCTTCCTGGACTCCACATGGCTGCTTTTCCTCATCCCTCAGGCCTCAGCTTAAATGTCACCACTGCATGACAGTCCCCATGTTTTCCTGACCTCCAGACTTTTCAAAACATGCTTCAGACTTCCCACCTGCAATGGTTTTCACGTGCCTGTTGTTGGCCTGTCTTTCGTGCTCACCACTCACGTGTGAGTTTCCCCAGGATGGCGGCCTCCTCTGGCTTGTCTTGCCCCTGTGCTCACGGTGCCCGGCAGGCTTCCTGGCGCCTGACCAGTATTGAATGAATGTTACGGAGTGAGTGAGAGCCACTTGGGATGTACCTTCCCAAGGACAAGCGCCCAGCACGTCCGCCTTGTGTTCCTGGTGCCTCGCACCGTGTCCGGCATGTGGGAAGCCTCCTGTGAACGTGTATTGAAGCACTGAATGCCTCCATCTACCGGGCCATGCTCAGAGCCCAGGCCTGGGACTGCAGGGGGACCAGCGTAGCCTTTTCTGGAGGCTTTGACCGTTGATGAGGTGAAGCGACACATGCGGGTGATTAAAATGTGCAAAGCATCGTAGGGCCAGAGCAAGGCTAAGCAGGCTCTGTGGGGGATGTGACATTTGAGCTGAGTGTCAAGATGTGAGCAGAATTCATCAGGTGGCGGGAGGACAAGGACAGTCCCGACAGGGGGAACAGTCCCATGTGAAGATGGTCACCCATGAGGGCTCAAAGTTGCTGCAGCCTGGATGTGCAGGAAGGGACGGGAGAGGGGCAGGCTGGGTTACTGAGTTAGACGGTGAACAGCCCAGCACATCATGCAGGAGTTGGGACCTCATCCTACAAATGATTAAGACACTCCAGGCCAGGTGTGGTGGCTCACACCTGTATTCCCAACACTTTGGGAGGCCAAGGTAGAAGGATTGTGTTAGTCCAGGAGTCTGAGCCCAGCCTGGACAAATAGGGAGACCTCATACCCATAAAAAAAAATATAAAAGTTAGCGGGTTGTGTTGGCATGCACCTGTAGTCCCAGCTACTCGGGAGGCCGAGGTGGGAGGATTGCTTGAGCGCATGAGTTTGAGGCTGCAGTGAGCCATGATTGTGCCCCTGCACTCAGCCTGAGCGACATGAAACGCTAATGAGAGAGAGAGAGAGAGAGAGAAAGAGAGAGAGAGAGAGACAAGAGAGAGAGAGGGAGACTCCAATAATTTGCAAAGCAATAGTAATGTGATCAGGTTTGTGTTTTGGGAAGGCCAATCTGGTTACAGCATGGAGGCGGGCCAGAGGACTGTAGTAGTCAAGGGGCAGAGATGCTATGGCCTTGATGCAGGTGATTATGGAGAGAGAGAGAGAGTTCCAGGGCCCAGGGCAGAACTGACAGAACCCAGTGCCAAACTGGCTGTTTCGGTGAGGGACTGACTCTCAGCTTAGCCCTTGAGCCTCAGACTTCAGGCTGAAGCAGCAGGTGTGGTTGGCGGTGCCAGTACAGGCGTGGGACACACTGGGATGTGGCAAGATGTTCAGTAGGACACACAGAGTCTGGGGGCATGTCAGACGAGCATGGAGATGCCCACCAGGAGGCTGGAAAGATAGGCCCAGAGATGAGGAGGGAGGCCTGAGTCGCTGCAAGGATGCTGAAACCGTGGGCTCGTCCAGACGGCGTGAGCCAGAACCCTGCAGAGCGTGTGGCCGAGGGACGCTGCCGAGACGGCAGCTCAGCCAGAGGGGATAGGGAAGAACCAGGCAGAGAGCAAGGCCTTAGAGCTGGTGAGAGTCTGGCCTCCCTGCATATTCTGGAGGGCAGAAAAGAAGTCTTCAGGAAAGAAGGCTGAATGAGGAATTCGGAGACTTGGGCTGCAGCCTCCGGACCACGATTAACTGTGACCTTTAGGAAATCATTCACCTCTCCAAGCCCCACTCCTCTCTTTAAAACATCCCTGAGAAGTCAAACACTGAGCAATTTTTCTTGGCAGAATCATCATGGCCTCACACAAAATGTCGCTCGGTGCCACGACTGGAGCTAAAGCTTGGAAGTGAGACAGTCCAGGATCTGACTTGGCCTGGCGTTTCTGGACGTCACTCCCTGAGCAGCGAGTGTGCAGGTCTCCAGGACGCAGAGGGGATCGCCACTGCCCCGTTCTCAGGAAGTGCTCACACTGTCAACACAGCTCTCCGTGGGAGGAACCCGAGGACAGGGAGAACAACTACTTCTTTTGGTCTCTCGGCCTGTGGGGCAGAACGGCCAAGAGCGTCTACAGCCTTCACCAAAATATGAAGGTCAAGGAAACAAGGAAAGGGCAACTCCATTCAGAAAGGAAGTAGGACCAGCTGGCTCTGGCTCACCTTTGCAGTGCTTCAACAAATGCCCCTCCTTGCCAAAGCCCGTGCCCCTGTCTCACCTTGTCTCTGCGTCACACACACACGTATGACCCTTAAAAACTCATCCCCATCTGATCTGTGACCTATGCCTTGTCCACGAGGGTTATTTTTGAACACGTGTTCCAACTCTGTCCAAAGTATAAATAGATTTTCACATACCAGCTCCTGCCAACAGAGAGTAAGTCGCTTCTTATCTAAAGTGGTTTGGTTCAGCATCTTGGGCTTTTTTTCTGCTTCAGAGATAAAGGCACTAAAAGAGAAGAATAACAATTTTGAAACTACTTAGTGAAAATCCATTTATGTAATTCCAGAGATCTGCAACACATTGCAGAGCAGATGAACCACAGAACCAAGATCTTTAATTTAGGATTAAGCGACAAGGCATTAACTTTTCTAAGAAAAAAAATGAGAATTGGAAGTGACTCCTAGGCCTGGCTTCAGTTTTGGGTAATGGATGTCTGTGTATCCACTTTCTTTCTGTACATTTCCATCGCGATTGCTACCAAAAGTCATAACAAAAAGCACAAAATAACGCAGTTTTCATTTTACAAACTTCAAACCCATCAAAAGTTTTCTGAACAGTTATATGTAGAGCAGATATTTTAGGCCCAATAGTGAGAGATGTCCTCACATTTTAAAACTATACCAAAGACTGAGTGGGCCCATTTTTTGAAAATGAAGTTAAAAATGTGTCCAATAGGAAAATAGTAAAGGTTGTAAATGCAATTCAAGAAGAAGCGTTCAGTATATCCTCATGAGTGATAACTTAAATGTACATTGAAATCAATGCCATTTCACCTATAAAAATGGATGGCATTCGAGTTTGGTGGAGATTTGGGGCGACAGTGGCTCTCCTGCACATTGGCGGGAGGGTGTACATTGTTAGTATGTCAGAGGCTATTCCATAGCACCTATCAGAATTTGAAGGTGGCTATAATTTGACTCAAAAATTACACCAGGATTCTTATCCTTGAAAAATAAGTGAAAAATTTTGCAAGAATATGTTTACACAAAAACATTTATTAGAGCATTATTTGTAGTAGCCAAATAAATGGGAACAGCTTACATATCCTCAGGGATGGGTTAAATGTATCTCAACACATCCATGTGATTGGCTGCTGAGGATACTAGTTATGTGTTCCTGTAGGAACATGCCTGTAAGATTTTGTTAAGTGAAATAGCAACAACCTGAGCAAAATGTATAACATTGTTTGTGAAGAAATATGGAATTTTTACAAGTGTATGTGTATGAGAGCATGTGTTGTGTGTGTACATGAGGGTGCGCCTATGAGGGTGTGTGTGTATGAGTGTGTATGTGTGTATATGAGTGTGTGTATATTAGTGTGTTTATATGAGCATGGGTATATGAGGATATGTGTATATGACGGTGGGTATATGAGGGTACGTACATGAGTGTATATATGTACATGAGTGTGTACGTACATGAGGGTGTGTTTATATGAGCGTTCAGTATATGAGTGTGTATATCTGTGAGGGTGGGCTCATGAGGGTGTGTGTTTGCAAATGCACGGGACCAAGTCCAGGAGAATGAATCAACCTCTTCTCTGGAGGGTAGAATTGGAGAGAGAACACCGAGAAGAACGCTTCTACTTTGTGCATTTCTGCTTTTTCAAGAAAGTGATGAGTTCGCTATCCTTCTGTGGCAAGAAAGCCAATTATAAAGGAAACAAGAAGGGAAGTCTGAGACGCTCACCCCTGTGAGAGGCCCCACACCAGGCCCTGGTGATGCCTCTGGAAGCCTCAGCAGAACTTCTCTTTTGGGTAGAGTTACCCTTTCTCTTAGTTTTAAAAAGCATGCAAAGGATTATATTGGGGGGGGGGTTCTTTTGGCCCCTCCCTGTCTTTTCTGGAGGCATAGGCAGTTCCATTCGTCTCTCCAGTTTGGATCATCCGGGTAGACACGGTCAGCACCTCTCATCTCTCTCCTTCCTCCACAGGAAGGGAATACTTTGCTCATCTGAGTCGGGGTAAGTGGCCACGGCACCTTTCTATTCATTCTCTGCTGACCTCCACGTGTCAGATGGCCTGTCTCTGCAGGGGGAACGTCCCAGAATTCCAGTGCTCAGCCCCGACCTGGCTCGGGAGCAGGAAGCCCACCTGACCTCAGGTCCAAGCTGCCTCTCAAATTCAAGTTTCCCAGTTACAAAACTAACAATGCGATCTCTGACTGGCCCTCATCAATATTTTTTCAGGTGGTGACAAACTTGAAGAAAAAGGGAACTAATTAACTCTCACCCCAGTAGGGTGAGGGAGAACTGTATACACTTCTGCTTTTTCCTTTTTTAAAAGTGATGAGGGTGCAGGCCTTTTGTGGTGTAGAAAGGTTGTTGAGCTATTAATTTGTTCGAAAACAGTTTCTAAAAATATGAGATTGTGAAGCTTTCTGAGGACACTTAAACGGAATTGCCAATGGCCTCAAACAGCTCACAGCAGGAGTAGCGCAAATATACACTGCTTTTATAATGAAAAACAATGATAAAGATAGAAAGAAAAACAACTTATTTATTTGCTGGCTTTCTCTTTTAAAGTAGAAATGGTGGGGTGGCTACCTCTCGTTGGGTTCATTGCCACTCCCTTTCCATTGAGTCCAGTACAGCAGCTTCTCTTTTTTGCTCAAGGCTTGAAATTGCCAGAGTCAGTCCAAGCTGTTCCCCTGGGGCAGGCAGCCTCTAGGGTGGCCCCCTGAGTCCCACGCCCTGCCACTCAGGCTACCGTGCAATCCCCTCCCTGTGAATGTGGGCGAGACCTCGTGACTTGATTCGCTTCCAAGATTGGGATGGAAGCCTGTGAATTCCGTCGGGACGGGTGGTCTCTCTGGCCCTTCGTGCCTGCTTGCTCTGGGGAGGCCGGTGGCCCTGACATGGGAGGCAGCTTGGAGAGGCTCTCATGGCAGGGGATTGAGGGCAGCCTCCAAACAATGGCAGGCGAGGAACTGAGGTCCTTGGCCTGGCAGCCCAGGAAGAATAGAATTCTGCAAGTAACCACATGAGTGGTCTTGGAAGTGAACTGCCCCAGCTGAGCCTCGCTGTAACTGTAGCCCAGGGAGGGGGTCCTGACCCAAAGGACCCGGCTGGGCCACCCCTGGACTCCAGACCCCCCGAGGCTGTGAGGCAGAAAATGTTCAGCCACTGAGTGTCGGGAAAATGTGTGACTCATAGATCACTGTATTTTCTATCTTTATTATATTATCTACCAACTGGAATAAGAGTTATTAATGGGCACTTATTAACAAGTTACATGAAAAACTCTATTAACAGCATTGGGGCACAGAAAAGTTCGCCTCTGCGGCGCTTCCTTACGCCGAGCGCTTGGGAAATCGAGGCCTCAGAAATGGACCTCAGCCCCTTGGTCTCTCCCTAGCTTTCCCACAGCTCGCTGTCCTCTGATCTTCTTTCCTGAAGCACCTGAAGGGACCCTGCCTGGAAATTCTCTAAGAAAGCTTAAGTGCAATTGTCTTAAGATTCCCTCCTGCCAGACCGCACCAAATAACTGGGAAAGATCAACGACGGAGGAGAGAAGAGACCAGGAGTGGTCACCTGCCCAGACAGACCTTTCATCTATTTTTCTTTTTTTTTTTCCACTCTGTCACCCAGACTGGAGTGCAGTGGCTGCTCCCGGCCACCAAAGCCTCGACCTGCCGGGCTCCGGCGATCCTTCCGCCTCAGCCTTCCGAGTAGCCAGAATTACAGGCACGCGCTACCACGCCCGGCTGATTTTTTGATTTATTGTAGAGATGAGGTCTCGC